GTGGTACATAAATCGACATAGAAAATAAAATGATTCTTGAAATGTAAATATTTTATTTGGATAAATCCCAAATGGAGTGCCTATTGCATATTTTTCATTCATTTCTATGATATAAATTAAAACCAAATAAGCTTTCTCAGTATAAATGAAACCTTATTTGTAAAAATTTTTAAGAATTAATTTTTTTTTTGATATAGCCGAAACCAAACCAATAATCAGTGTTGATCACAATGTTTATGATGTGATCATAAACACTCAAAATTTGTCAAACTGACGAACCATTAGTTTTGCTCTAGCGTATTTTTATGTTTATAAATTCCGCTGTCGCGATACTTTATGCGGCTTCGACCTTAACATGCTGTTCCCAACGCGCCCTATGTTTCTTATAAATTCCAGACTTGTTTTATAAAATATCCTTAATACTTTTATATTATTGAATTTTTTTTCTGCACAAATTACCAAAAGCAGCGTAAAATAACGTTCTTCATTTACAGTCTTGTGTCAGACCCATGTACGTGGTCAGTACGAGAATTGTTTCCAATATGAACCTGAGAAATTCTAAAAGAATTTTAAATTCTTTTTCCAATTTTAAAAGATGGTTCAGTTTTCAAGTCAAAAACGGTTCATTTCGAAAATTTTAAAAGTGAAACTAAACCAATAAAGAATGATTATTGTCTCTTGTTACAAAGTAACTTAAAATAAAAAAAACAGTTTCCAAATAAAAAATGGATACCTTTAAAATCCGGAAGTAAAAAAGTTCCTTTTTTATTTTTTCTTATCTTCATATGAACATAAAATGTGTACATTCTTCAGTGGTTCTTGGATTCTTGCTACTTGTATTCTTACCACTTGAATTCGATGAGGATTTCAATGAAATTTTTTTTTATTTTGGTTTTCTATTGCAGGATTGGTTTTTTTTTAAAGTTTTAAGAAATAATGGTTACAAAATTGAAAAAAAAAATTCGTTTCCACATTACACAGAAAAATTTTTCATCTTCTCAGTTTATGTTTTAAATGTCCTTTTGTATATGTTTCTGTATAATATGGAAGAGAAAATTCAGAAAGAAAATTAACAAAAAACAAAAATGAATATAAAAAAAAATCTATGGAAATCGGATTTCCTATTTTAGATACCAATATCGGATAAAGATTTTCCCTTCGTATTTTTTTTTCTTTTTATTATTTATAAAGGAAAAATATTTAATTTTCTTTTTTTTTATCAGAAATTTATTCCAAATTTTCTTGTTGTTTATGTCTTTTTTTTTTATTTATTTATCTTAAAATGAATTTAAAGGACTTTTGCACTGATGCAGTGCAATTCGGTATAAGAGTAAAGCTTTATATTTTTTTTTTATTTGAAAAGAAACCCTTTGTTATACTTACATATGCATGTAGGTAGATTCTGCTACAGCATATAAACTATTTTGTGGTTATTTGAACAATAATAAAAATAGGGGAAAAATTGAAAATATAAGAGATATGGCAACAATTTGCTTGTTTTTTTTTTAACATGGGCAAAATACAGGGAGAGTTAATACAAAAAATATCTCTTATTGATTATGAAAAGAAAGGGGTTCACATGGAGAACTTTTTAATCAAGAGAATTAAGAAAATTTTGTGAATTAAATTTTTGTCCAAGAAGTCAAATATAATGTTATTTTATCATTTTTTAATTTTGTTGGTATTCTATTAAAAATTGCCACCACTCATAAAAATATCAAATTTTTGAGCTTTTTACTTTTTCGAAATTTAAAACTTTTTTGAATTTCTGAATTGCTTATCTTAATACGCGTAGCTAGCCGTCGAATTCACCAATTTTGAAAGAATTCCACAATTATTTTATTGCATTAGCATAATATAATATGTAATTTTTGGTTAAAGAACATCCTAAAATATTACGATCATTATCTTTGAACTTCTTTCAACTTTACAAATAACACAATTTACAGTCAAATCTGTTTAATATCACAACTCGATTATATTCATAAAATATTTGACAAGAAAAACTTCTATACACTTTTAGTCATAGCCGAATATCGCTCGCTATCGATAAAGTCACATAATAAAAATTACGAAAAAAATCCAAAGGAACAATTATTCTTACTTTTTAGCACTTTTCCAAAAAATTTTTTGAAAAAAGTGCTTATTAGTTTCACTCTGTCCGTCCGTCCGTCCGTCCGTGGACACTTTTTTTGTTTACAAAACTTCTACACCTTTGAAGATAGAAAGCTGAAATTTAATACGTACATAGATCTTCACAAGAAACTTATTTCCGTAGAACAAAATTTTTACCTATCTCCCCCCCTCTAGAAGTTATACCTCCCCAAAACCCTAAAAATGGCCTTTATTAAATATTTGTTGCAATGAAACCATAAGCATTTTTGAAATTTTGCAAACGCAGAAAGGCAGTGACTTGCTTCCCCTTGCGCGGTATACTATAGTTTAACTTAAGAAAAACAAAATGGCCGCTCAAATTTACCGTTATTTAAAGTCCTTTTTTCCAAATTTTTGATGTCGTTTTTCTTCTAGACCCCAGACTGTAGAAATTTTAGAAGCTTTTAGATATTAATAAATAGTTCATTTTGTTAGAAGAAAATTTTTTTCCATCTCCACCCCCTCTCAAGTTATCACCTCTTGAAATTCGTAAAATTTGAATTTTTGACACCTTATATTTCCGAAACCGCAAGATTTTCCAAATTTTTATAAACGCAAAAAGCTAACGGTAAATTCCGTGAAATTAAAAAATATAATTATTTTTCTTAACTCACACAATTAACCCTTAAAATCGAGCATTATGTTAACTCCTTTTTATATTAATTTTTGCTTTATTTCAAAGACTGCATATATGCGTCATTCTAAATATATGCAATCCTAGAAATAGTTTTGTATATGAATGAAAATAATTTTAATAGTGTGATAGCAATACATAGACTGTATTTAAAAGCAGAATTTGCACTTGTTGAAGGGAAAAGTGCTACAATACAAACCATTGGTTTGACCCAACTTTATTGTTTACATCATCTATTGGCAATTTTTTAAATGTGAACGCATTTTTCCTTAGAATGTACCAGTTGAAATACGATTTATTGTTGTCATTGTTTTTAGTTTTTCTATTTGTTTCAATATTTTTGTTGTTTAAAAACGTTTTCAACTCATTTCAATGCGAGTACGTACGTATTCAATATTTTGTAAGTTCGCTTAATTTCACATAATGTGAATTTATTCGAACATTGCTTAATTTTACAACTTAGTTAAAATTACAAATTCTTGGACATTTTTCTATGTGATATTATGCGTGTTCGACTGTAAATGCAAAATTTTTTTTGTAAACTGATGCTTATATCATAAAACGTAAATCTACTTCTTTAGTAAAGGCTATAAATTACGATAGAAAAATAACTTAAGTTTAAGATGAAATTCAAAACATTGTCAAGTAGATCCTTATTACTTAATTCGTTTTATCATATCTAGAAAAATATTTATATAATATATAAAATTTTTGATTCCATTATTACTTTAGTATACCAATTTTAGTACACCTTGTAATTTTCCTTCAGCAAGGGTCTTTTTCCGTCATTTTCTTATGCTGTAAATACAACATCAATTTACAACACATAAGAATTTGAAAGCAAAAATCCCTAAAATATAAGAGTAAAAGATAAAAATGAAAAAAAAAATTGATTCTTGATTGAGATGAATGATGATTCAATAATAATAGTAACATGCACAAATACAACATCTTATACTTATCTACATATCATATCTATTGATTATATAAGAGTATAAAGGAAAGAAAAAGGTATTTTCAGTGCATGATTGAGTATTAAATCAGCATCTGGATTTTTGCTCTTATATTTTAAGCTCTTACATTTTAAACAAAAAAAAAATTTAGTATCGCATATACCATTGTTAAATGAATATATTTTTTGATCAAGAAAACCTTCTATGTGATCAGGGATTTTATTACAAAAGAAAATCAGCCACCGGTAACAGAAATCCAAATGACATTATAGAAAATCAAATTCCATTCTTTTCTTTTGAGTTATAAATTCTAACTTTAACTTTGATCTCATTTCATTTCACTTTTTCTGTTTTTGATATTTTAACATGTAAATCTTATAAGTTGAATTTCAAAAAAAAAAAAAAAAAAATAAGTCAAAAAGGATGATATAAGTGAAGTAACAAAATAAATAAAATTTCTGGTTTATTCAGAATGGATAGTAAGTGCACTCAAGGTTTTTCTTTAAAGTTCAATTGAATTAATAACATAGTTGAATTCAAGTTATTTGCAATAGATTTAATTGTGAAGTACCAAATTTTATTTAAGATTTTAATTTGATATTTGATTTACTAATTTAAAAATCAAAACGGACATGCAATGGAAAACTTTTTATGTAATTTTTCTAAATTGAGATTGTATTCTATCTGAAATTTAATTTCATGACGCCTTCACATTCCTAACATAACAAATTTTTGAGTAATCCCACTTTTTAATAATATTGCATATTGCGTTACTCGTTCAACCCATTCTGGAAATCTAAAGCAAAGATTAGAAGAGATCAAGCTCAGATTGAGTCACTGCAGCTTTGCCAATTTATTGTTATATGGCACCGTTTATAAAATGCTAGCTAGGGCTATCACTCAAAGCACTATCTCCTACAAGTTCGAGATCGCCACTACGTCTCCCCACAAGTAAACCAGTCCCGTCCTGGCAAATGCTTCACAAAAGCAAAGAATATGCTCAGCCGTCTCATCTTCATCACGGCAAAATCTACAGAAACGGTTTTCGGATTGTCCCAATTTGTGCAAGTGATAATAGATATAATGTCAAAAAGCACATATATGGGCAGACGTATTTTTGAAAATTTCTTAATATGTACAGTAATACTTAGTTTTATGCTTATACCTTTAATATTAAATTTGCAAGTGCTCAATTTTTTATTATTTTGCAAGTTTTATTTTTGTATCTTGTGCTTAAAATTTAAGGCTATAATTTTTTAATTTAAGACGGAAATTTGCACTTATTTAAAAATTGATGCATGTTTCCGTATAGTTTTCAGCATTGATTCAGCTTGTTGATTATCTGAATCTCTTAATAACGATATAACATCACCGATACCATTTGGTGGTTTACCTTTTTTCGCATCAGATACCATAGCATATAAAACACCAGCACATGCACCACGTTTACCTTCCCAATTTTCTGGACTCGGATCTAATCTGAAAATTACAAATGAAAAATTAATTAAAATTTCAATTTACATCTACAATATATACATAAGCAATTAACTTACTTCTCTAGCATATCGAATGCTTTCGCAGCCACCCAAAATTCTTCACATTTATAACAATCATTTGCAATCAATTGTAATAATACAAATGCTTCTGAATTTGTATCTCTTGTTACAAATAAATTCCAGGCTTGTTCTGGATGCCCAGCATTTATATGACATCGAGCTAATATCATACAATATGTGTGTGAATTTCTTATATCTAAATCATTTATTTGTACAAATAATTCTTCAGCTTCTTTATAATAACCTGTGGCAGCTTTTGCTTGTGCATAATTAAAATTAAATGTATCATCATTTATAAAATAGCTACGTATCGAATTTAAATATACTAAAACTTCTTCGAATTGACCATATAGAAAGAAAGCTGATGCCATACTTTGACGTCCGGGTATTGTATCGCACTCTGATGCTGAACTTCCAACTAAATGTAGATTTTGTTGTGCTGTTTTTAAGTGCTCTTTCTAAAAAAATTTAAAAATTTTGCTATTCTAAATTAATTGTTATTGATATTCTAAACAGGCAATGTGATCTAGCAAGCATGTTTATTATTATAAAACTATTTTTAGTGCATTTTCGTTTATAAAAAAAAAAATTGTATTTACTGATCCAAGTTGTTGTCCTAAGGCAGCATGTACAACACCTTTAAGTATATATTCATGTGGAACAGTTGGTTCAACTTGTTTCATTAAACTATGAGCTTCCTGTATATTATTACGTTTTAAATGAAATATTGCTAAATTTAAACGTGCTTCCGGTACAATATTTAATAATGATGGAAATGTTTGTAATGCACCTTCACCATTACGAAAAACCACTAAATTATGTTTAATTAAATCAGCACCAAATGTTCCATTGTCAGCAATATTATTGATTTCCTGTTCAGCAACTCTACCATTAAATAAACGAAATCGATTACATGCTTTTAAATTAATAGCAATTGTACTATCAGGATGTTGATTCAAATAAATATCAAGAACTTCTTGAGACATATCATAATAATCGAGCTTGTAGAAACACAATGCTAAATATACATTGAGAGCAAGAAATTCTCTGGAAAAAAATTAAATGAAAAATACTTATGTACTGCATGTATAAAAAAAAAGTATGTACAAATTTCTGTGATAAAAAAAAATTCAAGCAAGCGGATAAAAAAATAAAATTGTTGACTTTCTTTAAAATCTTGAAGACATTTATTTTTTCCAATTGAATAAATAATTTTTGTCTGGGGGTGATAAATTATAACTCTAAATCTTTAGCTTCAATAAATTTAGAAATGTGTGGTGTGAAGTACGTTATATGGGGTTTATATTATCATATAATTAGAATACAATAAGCCCCCTTCTATAATATTATGCTTTCGTTATATTGAGAATTGATTATAAATTAATTCATCACGTCGATAATGTGAAAATAAATTGGTTGAATATATTAAAAATTCAGATAATCATTCCGAAAGAGACTTAAGATCGTTAAATAAAAACAGTTATTTTATTACTGGGCACATGGAGAATCTAACTTCGAAAAAAGATATTGCGGTGGAACTGTTACCCTATGAAACTCTATTATATTTTGTCCATTCTTAAAACTTAGATAAATTTTAAACGTAAAACAAAATTCATCAACTTTGTTAAATGAAACTTTCAAGGATCCTTTCTCATTAACCGATTCCACAAGCGTTTACATACCAAACTTTCATTAAATTTTAATTAAACTGAAATTTTAAAAACAATTCCTGCAATTAAAACAATTGAATACAAATATTTACTTATTATCCAACAATATCCTTTTATATATATCAATAGCTTCTTGATAATGTGCTCTTAAATAATGCAAACAAGCTAAACTTAATGCATCTTTAACATCATCTTTAAGTGATTCATGTAATTCCATTAATTCTTCTTCACGATCCAATTTATGTGCTAAATGGAATAATAATCGTATTTTTAATCCTGTATTTGGTATTTCTTCCATTAAACTATATGCTTCTTCATACATTCCCAAATAGAACATGCATACAGCTATATTTAATTTAATATCCTTAATAGTTGGATCAATATTTTTTAATTTTAAATATTGTTCTAGGGCCTGTTGATAATCTCCTAAATGAAAACTACAAAATGCTATCCATTGGTCCCTTAAATTTATTTGGTCTTCATTTTCATCGTTCGAAAACTAAAATTTCAAATTTGATTCACAATTAATATATAGATGCAATATATTATTTCAATACTTTGGCTTTTCTAATTATAAATGCAATATTTTATAACTTACTTCAAGAAAGGCTCTTCCACCTGTATAATCTCTTTGAAGAATAAAATCTTCGAATTGAGGTAAATTTTTCTTTGAATAATTGTTGGCTGACGTATGCCTTGAATTTGCTGAATCGTTTTTCCCCCTCGATAAGATCTACATAATATAAATAATATATATATTTTTTTTATCACATTTAATATTATATTTTTAAATTTTCATTTTGTTTAATAAATTTTTAAAATTTTTATTTTAACTTACCATATTGAATTACAGATTGATTTCTCTTTAACATTGCTACAGCAAATAATTCTAAAAGACTATTTAATGATTAAATATGAGGCAAATCGAATTACAAACAAAATTGTTTGCCACAACAATGTTGCATAGCAACAAGGGTGCATACAAATAGTTGTCTTCAATCAAAATCCATTCGATTAATTTATACATGCGCCATAAGGGCGAAATTTTTAAAATAAATAAAAAATAAGTTTGGTTCAACAAACTCGGATATTAACAAAATTAGTAATAAATTTTATCATTTATTTTTTTGTCACTTTCCGAATTTGGATGTCAAGAATGCCGGCCTACTTTTTGTTTTCCTCAATAGTTCAAAATAAAAATTTTCTTCTATTCAAATATTTGGAAATTCTTGAAAATTAAATGAAAATTTTAACAATGTATGCTTTAATTAAATTAATAAATGAATGCTCTAAGCAGTAGTGTGAGGAAGAATAATATGTTTTGTCCAATATGTTAATATATGACCACGAGTTGTGAAAAGTAAGTTAAAATCAATATTATTTGAAACTGTAAGATCGGCTACCGCATGAAACTAGAACAACAGAATGTTAGCGTCATATGATAGTTTGTGTGATTTGTTTGTACCGCTCCCTGTCCCTTGCTGATTCTACCAGTGCACCAACTTCCGATATGCCAGTCCAATTCCTGATATTTCGGAGCCAAGACAATTGCTTTCTACCAACTCCTCTGCGTCCTTCGATCTTCCCCTGCACGATGAGCTGCAACATCTCGTATTTCGCACTCCTCATTACATGGCCAAAGTATGCTGTTTTTCGACGTTTAACAGTTGTGATTAGTTCTCTTGTCACATTCATTCTTCTGAGAACCTCCTCGTTCGACACACGGTCTACCCATGAAATCTTGAGCCTTCTTCTATATATCCACATTTCGAATGCTTCCAGCTTGTTCATGTCTTTTACTTTTAATGTCCATGCTTCCACACCATATAATAAAACAGACCAGACATAACATTTAACGAAACGTATCCGCAGCTTCATGCTGAGGTTCCTGCTGTAGAAAAGCTCCTTATATTTAAGAAATGCCTTCCTGGCCATTTCAATTCGGCACTTTATTTCCCCATTACAACTCCAGTCTTCGTTTAGCCAACATCCAAGGTACTTGAAAGTGGACACTTTTTCAATTTGACTGTTGTTAATTGTAATAGTCGCACCAGGATACGGATTTCTATTTCTGCTGACTATCATCAATTTCGTTTTTTGAGTGTTGATGTTAAGCCCAAAATTGTTACTGTAGTGGTTGACTCTATCTACTATATGTTGTAAATCGATAATATTATCAGCTATTAACGTCGTATCGTCAGCATATCTTATATTATTTAAAAACGTGCCATTAACTTTTACGCCTACTTCCACATCAGCTAGTGCCTCCACGAAGATAGTTTCCGCATATAAGTTAAAGAGCATTGGTGACAAAATACAGCCCTGACGTACACCTCTTTGAATTGCAATGCTATCCGTTAAGCCATGCTGAGTTTTTACGTTAGCTGTCTGATTCCAATAAAGATTTCTGATACAGTTTATAGTTTTTTCTTCGATATCTAATGCACTTAAAATTTCTATCAACTTTTCATGCTGCACCCTATCGAAAGCTTTTTCGTAATCAAGGAAACAGAGAAAAACATCCTTCTGAACATCTTTGCAGTTTTGTACTAGTATATTTACGCCAAAGAGAGCTTCTTTCGTGCCTGTGCCTTGTTTAAATCCGAACTGAGTTTTTCCCATATGTGCTTCACACTTGGAATACATTCGACTTTGCAGTATTTTAAGAAAGATTTTAAGCGCATGACTCATTAAACTTATCAGACGGTGATCTTTACAGCTTTTAGCATTCGCTTTTTTCGGTAGTGCAATAAATGTCGACTTTAGCCAATCTTCTGGGAAATCACCTGTGTCATAAATTTGATTAAAAATGTTGACCAATATATCTAAATTATCATAATCTATTAACTTTATTATTTCTGCTGGTAAATCATCCGGACCTGTAGTTTTATTGTTTTTTGATGACAATACGGCCTTTTTAACTTCTTCTTTTGTTATTGGAAATCCAAAAGGTAGTATGTTAGTGTTATTGTTGTTTATTGTTCTCCTTTGATCTTGAAATAACTGTTGAACATAATTTTCCCAGGTTTTTTGTTCCTCATTTACATCAGTTATAAGTTGACCTTGTTCGTTTGTTAATGCAGCGGTAAGTTTTTTATGATTTGTACCCGTGATTTCTTTAATTTTTTTGTGGACATTGAAATCATCATGTAGATGTTGCAGTTTCTCTAATTCGTCACATTCTTTCTTCAACCAGTCCTGCTTGGCACGCCTAATTTTAGCTTAATATTTTTCAAATGATATAAACTTAAAAAACTAAAAGAAAAAGAGAAAAAAAACCAAAAGTCTAAAAATACTTCACGTAAGCACTTTAAGTTTTGATCAAAATTGAAGACAATAAAAGACTTAAAAAATGAAAAAAATTAAAAAATAAAATACACAATAATTGAAAAATTCTTGTCGAATAGAAAAATAGAAAATTAGCAAAAACAGAAAGATAGAGATGGAAAAACGGTCAGATGGAGTAAAGCATTTAGAAATTCCACGATTTAAACATTTTTCATTCAAAAGTACCTACAGCAGAAGAAAGAGAAAAAAAATTATTAACAATTTGAATTTTATTTTAATTTTTCCTTATTTTTTATGTTATTTTTTGTTTTCTAATGTTTCTGTGCTAAAAAATGAAAATGCAGAAGAATTAAATAATGGAAGAGTTCGTTATATTATCATGATATTTTTCACCGCATTACTATATATGTATACATATACATTCAGAAATTTATTCTTATATGCATATAACAAAAGATTTGTATGAGTGTTGCATACTAAAATAAAATGTAGTATGGTTTCATCAATGCACTATGAATTTTCAAGAAATTTCATTTTCAACGCTTTCTACTTTGTAATTTATATATTATTTTCCTTCATTTGGCCGATTAAATTCTAATATTTCTATATAAAACGGCAGAAATACGTACTTAAACAGAGTGTGCTAAAATTGAAATACCCACCGTTTTCAATTAACTTTTCAGTAATCCGACATAAAACCTTTATTAAATTCATTTTAAAGGACCCTTCTTAGGTTTGACATCCGGCAACACCAAATTTCAAAAAGAGTTATCTCTCGTTCAATGAATGGTGTAAAGATTTCCGAAAATTGTTCAACTGTATTTCGTACGACTATAATATTTGATAATTTTTTTTAAAGTTCTTCCTGTGATCTCTTTTATGGGGGGTTACTCGTTCTAATGAACCGTCTAGTTATTCTCAAACGAATAGACATGACGAATAGACAAACAGATAGACATGACGTATGGAAAGGCCAGATATTGCTAATATAGAAGAAGGCCATTGTAAAAGAAAAACAAGTTTATGGATATCATTGCAAGTACGTACATAAATCACAAACTTAAACAAAATAAATTCACGTACAAAATCTTTGAAATGCACTGATTTACTTTATTGTATAGGTATAGAAGTTTGTATGTATCTAAAAACCATACTTATTTTTCATATTTCATGCAATAATTTCAAAAGAATAGGAAACATACACTATGAATAAAGTAAATTGGCACATAAAATTTATTTTCTTTCTGCTTGTAGCCAGTTATGATAAGTATCCTATCATTGTGTGTACTAACTCATACATATACTTCACACTATCAACATTCTCCTCACTATATATACATATGTACATACATATGTATGTATAAAATTGTATAAACCATTGCCATAAAAAATAAAATTCTGTTTCAAATAAAGAAAAGAAAATCAAAATCAAGAAAAGGAATAAATAAATTTGAAAAGCGGAAAAATTGAAAATATCTTGGAAAATTTTAGAAACACATTTGTGCCAGTTGCATATAATTTTTATTTTATTTTTGTTCCTTTTGTATCTCTTGTTCTTCTTTTATTTTATTTTTTTCGATTTAAAGTGCAGTATAATTTTTTTCCCCGGATTTTTCATTTGTTCTTTGAAAGAGTAGAAAAAAGAGTAGAGTAAATCCTCATCTACTATTCTTTTTTAATATAGATACCCGAACTTTTATTTTCGAACATCTAATAAAAAATTTATTTTTCCATCTGAAACACTTTATGTGAAAATTTCATACGTTAAATTCTAGCTCATCTCATTTTTTTAATGGTTTTACATCTTGTGACCCAAATTTGATGATATTGTATTCTCGACAAATGCTTTTAACATCAGAAGATGACTAAAACTTGTGAGTTGCTAATGAATATTATGGACGTCATTCTACATCCTGTCTGTTTAACAATAAATAGAAAATATGAGAATTTAGAAGCGACTGCAACGGGTGACCGAAATGAGTCACAAATTTGGAGTCACGCCCGTCTGCCTTCGTATGAAACTGTAAATAAAGAAAACCCCAGATTTACGTTTCTTGTATAACAGTACAATCCGAAATCATGCATACTTGACGTATTGCAGTTGTCATATTTACTATCTGCGTCCTTTCTCTTGTAATATTCAGTCTTCCCATTCATTCCTCAATATTCAGTCTCAACATTCCTTCCCAACATATCTGTACAAATTTTCGGACATTTTTAAAAATACATATACTTATAAGCCATAGCATTATCGTAAAATAATATGGAACGGATTTTTATCATGCTGCCTTATAGTTATTAAGATTAAACTTAAAAGTTTTTTTGCTTGTTTTGTCATTTTATCAAAAACAAAAATTGTTGCCAATAAACAGTTCACTCATCAAAAATATTTTCGAAGAAATATTAAAATGGGAAACAGACAATCAGTTAACAATAAAAAATGTATATTAATATATATATATGTATGTTTAAAAATAGTGTATGTACAATAATATAAATGAAAGTGTTTATACATACATATGTATAGGTACGAATGAAATCATGAGAAAATAAATGAAGAAGAAGGTGATGCACTTTTCTAA